AACCCCCCCCAAAAAAAAAAAAAAAAAAAAAAAAAAAAAAAAAACACATCTGATACATCCCCACCCTTTCAGAAATCCTCTGTGGGATGCAATTCCATCAAAATGGGAAATTCCTGATAAGAAAGCCCACATTTTGCTGTTGAGACACAGGCAGAGAAAATGGAGGCCGTGCAGTCTTTTAAAAATGCTTTCCATCTCATCTATATAAGCAGCCACAGCAAATAACCACTCTACTTGGATAGTTTGTTTAGGGCAGGCTGGTCAACTCCCCCGATTACCCACTTACAACCTAGAAAAAATGCTGACAGATGCACTAGAGCACCAGCCAGAGCTCCAATGCTGCTCCAGTAACACAGGTATGTTCCAGTTAAACTTCAGTTACGATCAAGTTTAACAAATCCAACCTAGAGAATGTACCATATTTACCTGAATCCAAGACTACTTCAAATTTTAGACATGGAAAATGCATCTATTTGCTACAATTCTCCATGTATAGAACCTAATATTGGAGACTTGTCTTAATTTTGTCCCAACCACCAGTGTCACAGGGCAAGCAGGGGAGTCAAGTGGCCTGACCCCTGCACCTTACTACCTATCCCTCCCACCTCTTGCCCACCTGGCACCTGCCCCCCTACTTGGCCATCCTACCACTTGCCCTGCCTTCCACCTGCTCCAGGCACCTGCCCTCCCTGCAGTACCTGCAGCCCCTGACACCTGCACCCCAACCATTTGCCCCTCTCTTCAGCCTGCCCCCTGCCATGACCCCCCCCACCACCTCCCCCTTCTCTGCCACTTACCTCCCTGTCGCAGCTCCAGCTCAGGCCTAATCCGGTCTGCAGCACAAAGCACATGCTGGGTTCAGCCCCCACTCATCCACGTAGCAGCAGCTGGGGTGACAGCAGCTCTGGCCCCGACACTGAAGCTGGGGACAGATGCCACTGCCTGCCTCGGCAGGGGCCTGGATCCAGCACGTGCTCTGTGCTGCAGCAGGGCCCCAGCAAGAGCTGGAGCTGTGATGAGAAGGTAAGCAGCAGGGGCAGGGGGAGGCAGAGGCATGGATTAGAGGCTGGGAGGATGGGGCAAGGCTGGCCCCAAGCTCAGGATTGGAGTTGAAACCGCAGCCCTTCCCCTCCCCCTCAAAACCTGTTCACAGATCTAAGACAAGGAGGTTCTCCCCCCGACCCAAACAACTTTAAACACTGAGATCACAGCAGAAACCGTACAGAGCTGAGGAGCCAACAGTGTGCTGAGCTGGCCACACAAGGAACTCCTGCCAGTGCAGGCTAACGCAGAATTCATTTTCAGTGTACGGGTGGTCCTTGCTGTAGCCCTGGATGGCTATTTTTAAGGTTTCCATATAGAAATGTAAACTTTGCGAATCGGCTACTAAATCACAAGTGAAATTAAAACATTTTCTGCCTTGGAAGTACAGTTTGGGGAGGAGGAAAAAGGAAGGCAGAAAAAGAAAACGTTCAGCTGCCTCTACACTCTGCATGGAGGAGGCACGCCCAGAAATCTTAAGTGTTGGGACTGCCGTTTCCTGGGAGAAAGTCATCAGGTGAGAGGTTTTCCTGCGGCCTGCTCGCGGGCACTATGGAGAGCAGGAAGATGGCAACAGACAGCATCAGGAATTTGCATTATACCCCCTTACTGAGTCACTCTTAGGAAGAGACTCCCATTTGCTTCAGAACAATGAACACAGTAAAAACCCCAGGCTTGCTGCACGCCAGAAACAATAATAATCTTCTAAAGCCTGTCTGGGAGCAGACTATACTGGCAGCTAAAACAGACCCAACAGTTTTTTTCTTGTGAATACAGTGCAACGGGAATTTAGGGGCTCCAGGCTCTGTCGTTTCTATATTGATTCTCTTATGGGACAGAAGACATAAGCCTCTTGTATGCACATGGCCACACTAGGTGTGGTATCAGGGGTTCAGGGTGAACTACAAAGCCAGGTTTTCAGCCATGCATGCCTTCAAAGGAATTCTCTCTTTTTAAATTAGATGCCAAGCCTAAGGATTTATTTCTTACTCAAAAGACTATCAAGAGCTAAAATATGCATACCGTTCTTGTGCCTCCACTGTCCAAAAGGGAAAATTAAATTAAAATAATTACAATAATAAATGCTTGTCTCCCCAGACTAACAGCAGCTTATGATTAATCCATCCAGCTGCTGCTAAGGTTCAGCTATGCCAAATAATTTGGACCAAAAATTGTTATGCATACAGTTTTCAAAGCACTAGTTTTCTTGGGTAGGACCATGGAAAATCTGAGGCACTGCACAGGGTAAAACAGGTTAGATGCAGGAAGAGAGGGTGTGATAAGTTTTCAGTGTTGGGGGGGGGGAGGGGGAGGCACTGCGGTTCTCTCTCTTTCTGCAGAGCTGGAGAAGCGCTGAAAGGTCTCGTGTCCAAAGACAGCACTCACAGCTTTTTGCTCAAGGCTAGCAGGTTTTGCATATTCAAAAGTATACTGAGAGAATGGGTGGATTCCATTAAGTCAGAAATCCTTCCAAAACACTGACAATAAAGCATCTGCTGAAGGAATCCAGTCCCTCCTTCAACTGCACTGACTTCCCCAAAGAGAGAGTAAAAATACACAGAAATCCAGTCCAAAATAATCAGTGCAACTGAGAGGACAGTATGTTGGAAGGTTTGTTGCTCCCTCTTACTAACTAGGACTGCAAGTTATACAATTGCTCTTTTCTTTCTTTCAGGAAAACAATTAGTACAGCTTTAAGCTGCAGCTCGTCACAGGGTGTGGGAGGATGGCATGATCCATCACCCTGACATACTGATGCAGGACCCTTTTGTCAACCGAAACTGTCAGCAGGAGAGACGGCATAAAGCCACTGAGCCAACTCCACTGGTGCACTATGACAAGAATGAGGACTTAGCTCCTCCAAGGTACATAAGGAGGTGGGTTGACCCTCGCTGTTTAAAAAGAGCCTTGCACAAACATTTCCAGCAGAAAGAGCACATCTGGGTGAGAAAACATAAGCTTAGTTGTCAGGGCATTAGAGGACTTAACAGTGAAGTCAAACTCCAGGAAAGAACTAAGTTTGACCCTGGAGAGGATAAGTACATTTGGTGGGAATCCCTCCTACTCACAGGAGGTTCAAGTTTTCCATAAAGAGTAAAATTGGGCTTTAGGACTTCTGACGCTTGAAAATCCTTAGTGAAAATTCACTGCACTGCAGTGACTTCAAGGTTGATGCCTTCAAAGGTAGGTTTCTGAACACATAAGCAATGTGCTGCACTACACAGAAGACTTAGGGACTTATTCAAAGTTCCCCCTGCCATCTGTGCTCTGGGGGAAATGCATCTAAAACTGGGGGATACAGGAAGGCTGGAGTACTGACTCCAGGGTCTAAGCTACCAGACTGCTCACAAAGGGCACTAGATGGGGTTTGCACTGAGGAGTGTGCATAGGTGAACTACAGAGGTAAGAACCGTCAGTCATTACCTAGACTAAGGGGACTGACACGCAGGCGAGTCAGAAGTTGGCTCCAATGATAAGAGCCTATTACAGGGAAGGAGTGGGCCTGGTGGTGGTACCAAACTAGAAACTGATGGATGTGTTACAGGAGCAGCGCGCTTTGCTCTGGGAGACACACGAGTTGGAGAAAAACGTGAGCCTTGGTTCAGGATAACAACCTTGCAATGACTGGTATAAAATAGCTGTGTCAGGGAAATCCCAGGTATCAATGCTTAAGCATGTTTGAGAACAACCCCACCCGTGGAGAGTGAAACGCCTTTACTTGTTTGATACAGTGGGAAATTTTAGACCTGGCAACTCTGGAGCTGAGCTTACTTATGAGACAGATACTGAACACACAATATGCCGTGCTCCATCAAGCTGTTATTTTATTCTGTTTGGGTACCTTTATGAATCCCCTACACCTATGCCTGTCATTATTCCCTTTCAATGTGACAGCCTTGACCTTGTTTTCTTATCATGACACATACAGCTGACAGAGTAAAAAAGTTATACCACAGCCAGTTTATAAAGCATGAGTTGATATCAGCACCTTGACTACATATCAACAGACAAGTCCAGGAAACAGCTTTAAAACACAGGCAACCTCAGCTATTATCTACTCATTGCAGATCAACAATGTTTAACCTTACTGTGACTGCATGAAGCAGTGCGCAAGCTCCAGCGGCTCCTCCCAAAATCTCCGAATCAAGCAGAGAGAATCAGAGCAGAAAGCAGTACACGAGTCCTGAAAGAGAGAAATGGGTAATCATTATGGGGTATTGGCAGAGGTTCCTTCCTACACGTCCTGCACCGCAGGGACAGCTGAAGTGGAACAGGCTAATTCGAATACCTGGCTAGCAATTGGTCAGCGAGAGGATGGGCGTTGCCATTAACACGCAAAGCTTCAAGTTTTGAGAAGAACATGCCAAAAAGGGGACCAACCAAACGGCTCCTTTTTCCTCTACTGCTCCAACAGGCATGCAGATGGGGAAGACAACCTCTCTGCCCCCGCCCACTTTAATAAAGAGACTTAATTATATCCATGTGAAAGATGCTTTGTTCCAAGTGAAATGCTTACAATTACAGGCTACATTTATTCGAGGAGGAAATCCAGCAGGAGGACGAGTGCAGACTGTATGCAAGCCCTTGCAGCCAGGGAGCTTGGAGATGCTTAAAGAACCCCAGTGGCCAGGACTAAGGGAATTCAAACTTTCTCCAAGGAAGCCTTCACCAAAACCTCAAGCTGGAACTGAAGCTGATGCCCATCTGTTCTTCCCTCAAGTCTACTGCTCTGGGGCACGATTCCCCTCCCCACCCACACACCCTTCCCACCCACAGCACTTACTCTGGTCCATTCAAATGCACAGGCAGAGGATCATTGAAAAACACAAGGAAGTCAGAGTCTTCACACAGGCTAAGTACAGACAGTCACAAAGCCGGAGGCAGAAGCGATTCAATCTCGGCAGCTTCCTCTAAGCTGTGTAGATTGAACTGAAAACCGACTGCACTGACATTCAATTTTCAACTGGGAAAGGCGGGGGGGGGGGGGG